CCGCCGTAGCCGGCCCCGTCCGCGGGCGCCCGCGCGGCGGCGAGATGGGCTGCCCGCGGCGGCGCGGCGCGCTGCGACAGGCCGGCGGCGCGCGCCATGGCACCCCCGGAGCCGGGAAATTCGGCGGCGCTGGCAGCGCAGGGGTCGAGGCCCTGGGCGCGCCAGGGGCCCGCAGCAAGTCCGTAGTTGCTGTCGCCACTGGCGTGCCCACGAAACCGCTGAAGGATAGCGGCGCGCGAAGAGCGCTGGCGATGACATGTGGTGCATGCGCCACGATATGACCCACGCGCCTGCGCATAGTCGTGAGACGTATGAGCTCGGCCTTCGTGGCAGGGTATCGTTTGCCGTGGGGCTGGAGCAGCGACATGAATTGGCTAGCTGCGACACCGACCGCTCGGAGGAGCAGCCGCCTGTAGCCTCCCCGAGACATCGCAGCTCCAACATTGCGCGTAGCTCAGAATCGCAGCGTGATAAGTTGCGAGGGCAGCGCGTCCATGGTGTCGTTGCGGCGCGTCGGACCTCGAAAAAACTCGCGGGTAGTTTGGAGGCGCGATCCCTCGCCTAGTGGACCGAGAAGTGTGGCGAACTTCCCGATGAGGTAAGTCACGGCGTCCTCGTACTAACCAAACCTACCATCTCCGGAAGTTCATGGAACGCGTGAGCTCGCGAGCGGCCCCGCCGAGGTTGAGAATGACGGCAGCGCACTGTTAGGCGCCGTCCATGTCCGTGGCAAGCACGCTCCAAGCGAGCAAGCTCTATACCAAATGCCGGCAAAACTACGCGGATTCGCGCTCGGGTGACCATGAAAACGGCTAGCGGGAAGTGATCCCACCGCGGCCGCCGCCGCCTTGTGGGCCGGCTCCGCCCGTCATCATGTCGGTGAACCAAACTGGGACGGCCACGACAAACACGAGGACGTTGCCCCAAAAGGTCAAGATGGAAATCCTCCTCGATATGACTACACCACGAGGATGGTTGCGGAGGCGCCTCGGGACTCGGGCCTGCGCAAGGACGGCCATGTCGAAATACGGCGCAACCATGATGACGCCGACAACCCTGTTCGAAGCCAAGGTCAATGAAACTGGCGCGCTACACTTCAGTTATCCATCCAAGTGGTGCGATGTGCTCACAAGGACGGCCAACACAATCGCTCACATACCGAGGCACGGCGCTAGCCCGTGGAGGAGCTTCGCAATCATGCGCGACGCGAAACTGCAGCCCGCACCTGTGGGGAAGTCGCTCTCCATCGCGTTTACGCTCTCTGCTGATGTCCCCGAAACCGAATTACTGGGCATCTGGTGCGAATTGCCAGTCGGCTTGCAGCACACTCATGGGCACAGGCTCTTCGAGGAATCAAGGGTGGTACCATTGCAAAAGTGAAGGTAAATCCGAATGTGCGCCCACACCGCACTACGCGCACGTTCGGTGGATCGCGAGCCAGGATCGTTCCCAGCTCCGCTACCAACTAGAGTTGCGGGGGGCGGAAGCTGTACAAGAGAAAGCATGGCGGCAGTAAGATGTGGATTGCGGGTTTTTTATTATTCATGCTGTATAGAGGTATGCGCCAGCGCTGAAGCCAAACGGCGGCAGCATCCTACGTAAGTAGGGGGAGGGTGGAAGGCAAGAACGAAAACGAGGGGTGAGGAGGGGTGAAGGCGAGGGGGAGGGGGGGCAAGCAAGGGAGAAGGCACGGCGAGGGAGAGGCGAGGGCTGGAAACCTCGGCAAGCATCGGCAAGGCCCACGCTTCATCGAGCTGGAGCTGGGCTCGGCATCGACACGGCCGAGCCCGAAGCAAGACAGACTCTTTTCGGGGAGACGCAAGACTCGGGTACGGGGGACTCGGGTTGGCCTGACGGGGACCATCATACAAATGACGAGACCCAATCTGAAATTTGACGCAGGCTTCCGCTGCACGAACACCGGAACGTCAAAATCCAAGACGCGCTCGTCAAACACCTCCGGCAAACCCGAGCCCTGGCTTGCTCGAGTCCTACGTCTCCCCGATCTCTTCGACCCTTCGGCTCCTCGGCGCCAGCCTGCGGACTTGCAGCGAGCATGGCTCCGAGCCGCGCGTGCGCGCCCCCTCGGAGGCCTGGAAATGGGCACCAACACCAGCACAGGGGGTTGCCTCCACGGGGGGAAGGTGATCCTAGATTTCGGTGTTGATGGTCATATTTCGGCCACCGTGGAAGCCAGAATATTACCACCGTCGCTGAGATCGACATCTTCTTCCCTCGATGGAGGCACACCGCCGATATTGGTGTTGGTGTCGACCTCTAGGCCTGCGACCCCCGCGCACGCGACCGCGCGCGCGCCCCCACGCACGCGACGGGGGGGGGCCCTCGCGAGAGACCAAGTGGCTGGCCACGCGGACGGCCAAAAAGAGAAGCGAGGCGGTGCCCGCCTGCGGCCACCCGAGAGAGAGAAGCCTCGTGTCGATGCGGGGCGCTCGCGGTGCGTCCTCCTCTGAAGGGGCCCCAGGACACGCAAATAAATACACACAGATAAAACTATTCCCCATATGTTCCCACATTTTCTGGGTTTTTGTCTTCCCCTAAACACTTCCCATAGTTTCCCATATTTTCTAGGGACTCGAGGGTAGAGAATCAGCTCGCGTAGCTGATTTTCCCAGCGCCTCCCAGCGCCAGGAGGCGCCCGTGTATCGGTGAATGGGCCCGGCGGCGGGGCCGAAACCGGGTGCATGCAGCAGATTTCGTAACCCGCCCTTTCCCTATCCCCCCTGTTCTTTCGGCCCGATCCTCATCTCGAGGCATCTTTATCAGGTCGGGCATGTCCTCCTACAGGCGGATTGTGGACGAAAAACAAAAGTACCCCAGAAATACGCAGAAAGAGTCAAACCGAAGATTAGGCAAATCGTCCCCAGGCTATTTTTGAACTACTTTTGAATATTCCTCCTTTAGAGCGACAGGCCCGACTTAACATTTGCAGCGACAGGCCCGACTTAACATTTGCATGCTCTCGCCCGGTCCCCGTCCTGACTCGCCATCGCGCACCCCGCCCGCCGCCGACACGCCCTGTGCAGGCGCCCACGCTGCGACAACAAACATGCTTGCTTGCCCTCGGGGCCCTCTGGAAGCTTCCAGCAACCTCTCCGGGGCCGCCGGAGACCCCCGCTCCAGGGACCTCGAGAGGCCTCTGCGGAACTCCTGCGGGAGTCTCCAGGTTTGGGAACCTCCTCTCTTCCTCTTCCTCAGTCCCATTTTCTTACACGCAATTCCTCGAGCGGGGGGGAAAGGGGAGGAGTAAACTGGGGAGCGGCACCGCGGGTTCAACAACGACTCAACAACGCGAAAGGGTTGGAGGAGCGACGGCCTGGTAGTGATAATCTATAGGTTGCGCAATCGGCGGCCGAATGTAAGACGGTCGGGTTGCGCCATCGGTGTCGTATGCGGCCGCCGATCGCATCCGTACGTCGTATGGCATGCGGGTGGTAGCGGGCCCGCCTGGGTTCGACTAGCCTCAGATGCACGTTACCCACACAAACAAAATACCGCAACAGCTGCAGCCGCTGCACACACGGAGCTGCAGCTCCAATAACAGCTTGACTATCGCGAAATACACTTCACTCGCGGCACTGGCCAGAGCACAGATCAGGGTGTGCAGTACGCGCTTCGTTTACACGAGATATACTTAACATGGCATACCATGATTTAACATGGTTTAATATGATGTGCCCCGAACACGTTACTCTCATTTTGCAGCGTGAAGGGTGCACGACGGGAATTGCAAGCGCACGCTATACGGCCAAGTGTATAGAGTGCACGTCGCAACAAGGTGCACTCTATACGCTGTTGTTCAACGTGTAGCCTGCAATTCCGATGTCTGAAACAAAAACGTTTTATCGTGCAATTATGATTTCTCCGCAGAAGCGTTTCGAGTGCACCTGTGCTTTCAGTGTTCCGATCTGGGTCGTCCCTGGAACTGCACTCGGCCTATTGGCAACCGCAGGCCCGAGCCACCTCTTCCTCCTCCTCCTCCTCCTCCTCCTGTTACGCGGACGTTTAACCTCCCCCTCGTCCTATTCCTTCTTCTCCTCCTCCTCCGAGGGACACCCCCCGAGGAGGAAGCGTATAGAATGCACCCCCCGAGGGGCGCCACTCGGAGGAGGGGGGGGGGAGGGGACGGAGTGGAGAGGTGAGCACAAGAGACGGAATCGTATAATGTGCACCCTGACGAGAGCGCTATGCACGCATGCCCAAGGAAGTGGCAAGGTAAAACTACCCCCAACGTAACATACGTTTAGCGTGCACGTCCGCCTGCAACATAGAAACGTGTAGCGTTCACGCACAATTTGGGGATACAAAACGGGGTCGGGAGGGAAGAGACGCGTACAGCGTTCAAAAACGGTGCGTGGCACTTTGTCTCTCGAGGAGTGCCGTGCACTCAACCCTGTGAGATTTGAGTGAACACTACGGTCAGTTAGGCCGTAACATAGATCAACTTACACCTTAGCAAGTGCATCTTGATGCATAAATGCGTATGGTTTGGCGGATCGATCTCAACTACGCACAGCATCCAACACGCAGGCTGAGCGGAGGCCCCAAATCAAACAATCCTGTCGTTACTTCTGTATGACTCGATGGGGGGTCTGGCGACGCCACCAGGGCTTGATGGGCAACGATAGGGGGGGACTGCCATGGGGGGGGATGCGCCGATCTGGAATCGGCGATACTTACCAGCCTGGAACATATCCCTATCCCTATGCTGGGCATCTCCTCATCACGATGCCAATCTTAGGGATTCCCTTATTTTTTGAGGGCGAATCCCTAAGATTGTCATCGCCTTTTGGCGTGTCAATCTTAGGGATAGGGATACGTTCGAGGCTGGTAAGATACGTCGCCGATAGCTCGGCGCTAGGCCTCCGATCGTGACTCCGCACCCTCCTGGGCATGCTGGGGCCATCGGGCCCCTATCGGCGATCAATGGGCGCTTGGCCGTCAATGCATCCCCCCTATGCCGACTCCCCCCTTTGAGCAGGGCCCGACCGTGCCGGCATTCCTATACTGGCCATCGCTCGGACGTCCATTCCCTGTGTTTTTTTCGGTTTCGTGCGCGTTTTTTTCGCCAAATGATCAAGGATGCTCTTCGAGGGTCCTCGCCGAAGGAAAAATGCACACGTCCAAGCGATACCAAGTATAGGCCTCTCACGACATGTTCTTGGAGCCCTGAAATATTCTAATAACGAGCACACTGCTCTTAGAACGTAAGCCCGGCGTGTGAGAACAAGACAGGCTCAGCCAGGAATGTTCTGAGAACAGTTCGGGCGGACCACGAAAGGTTTTCAGAACATTATTTGGTGGGCCTATAGGCGACCCAGGACGCTTCGCCACTGGTTTAGATTCGGGGTCGATGCATCCCCCCTCTGCCTATCCCCCCCTATCGTTGTGGATGCCATGGCAACGGACACCCTGACAATCCTATCAGTGTATCAAATATGTGTTCAAAACGGTTGAGCAGTGTTCTGAGCATGCCTAGAAAACATGTGCTTTACATGTCCAAGGCATGTCTCGAACATACTTCTTAGACATCCGTAACAATTATTTGGCAACATGCTTCCTCTCCACTGGCCATCGCTTCGACGTCCATTCCCTGTGTTTGTTTGTTGGTTTCGTGCGTGGTTTTTTTTGTTCGCAGGATGATCCAGGATGCTCCTAAATGATCCCCGCCGAGAAAAAAGTGCACACGTCCGAGCGTGAAGTCGGGCGTGTCCCCCCACAGGGGGATTTTCGACGAAAACTAAAAAATACTCAAAACATACTCCAAAATGGCCAACAAATAATCCACAAATAGTCCCGAGACTATGTTTTGACTATTTGGGAATACTCCTCCTGTAGAGGGACAGGCCCGACTTAATCCGAGGGGGGTGCACTCGACTACCCCGCCCCAAGAGGCCCCCAAGAGCCCCCCAAGAGGCCCAAGGGGGCCCCAAGACGCCGCCAAGGAGCCCCAAAGAGGCCCCCAAGAGAGGCCCCCAAGAGGCCCCTAGGAGGCCCCCAAGAGGCCCCCAGGAGGCTTCAAAAGAGGCCCCAGAGAGCGCTCGAGGGCCCGCAGAATGAGCGAAGCGATTCAAGAATCCCCGCCGCGACAAAGCGCACACCTCCGAGCGATACCAGCCTCCATGGCTCGTCGTCCTCCACCCCCGTCGTTGCCCCCTGGGGGCTACTATGAAGGGTCTCTGGGACGCACAAATAAATACACAAAGAAAAGGTGTCCCCATATTTCCCCATCTTTTCTGGGTTTCTGTCTTCCCCCCACTACAATTTTGTTTATCATATTTTCTGGGGGATCGACTGTCTGTGTTTTTTTTTCCCTCCTGCTACTACCCGGCGCGCCGCCTGCCGGCGGCGGCCTCGGCCTCCGGCGGCCGCGCGGCGGGGCGCTTCCGCGCCGCCCTCGGGGCCGCCGCCGCCGGGGCGGCCCGCAGGCGCAGCGCGCCCTGCGGCACGCGCCAGACGCCCGGCGGCAGGCCGGTGGGCAGGCGGAGGCCCTCGAGCGCCCAGGCGCCGACGTCGGGCGTGATAGGCCAGGGCTGGGGAGGCAGCCGCCGGGAGGTCTGCGTCGGAGGGGCGAGGGAGAGCCCAGGCCTTCCCGAGAGCAATTTTTTTAGCACTGGAGGCCTAAAAACCTAAAAAGCTGAGCGAAACTGCCTGAAACCAAGACGCAGAATAGCTCTGGGATAGGTTTTTAGGTCGGGTGCTATTTTTTTTAGCCCTCCTGGAAGGTGAGGGGAGAAGGGCAAGCCCCGCTGGGGGGGGCGCTTAGGCCAGAGCGTCGGCGGTGGACAGGCCTACCCTTGGCAAACCACCCTCGAAGTGAAGACCGCCCCGGACCGAAACCCGACGGGCCTGGACCCGCAGAAATGACGGCCGCGGCGCCCTCTCGCGAGCCGAAAACGGCCCATTCGCTAATCGACGTGTCAGGGTTAGGTGGTCTACCAACCTCCGATAGGTCCCATTAGGGGGGGGGCTGCTGGTGCCAGATTGGGCCGCGGGGTCAGCGGGATTACGTCAGAGTAAGCCCGATGAAGCAGGCTTGTATAGTCAGCACCAAGCCGGACGAAGCCGGACCTTGGGCCAGGGCAGAGTCAGACTTTGACCTCCCAGCAGTTGCATCCGAACCGCAGGGGGCGCGCAGAGCGGGGGGGGTCGGGGGGCGGCCGTTCCTCGATCCTCGAGCCTCAGACCTCCTCCCTGCTTGCTCCTCCTCGTCCCTTCCTCCTGCTCCTCCTCCTCCTCCTCCTCCTCCTCCTCCTCCTCCTCCTCCTCCTCCTCCTCCTCCTCCTCCTCCTCCTCCTCCTCCTCCTCCCCCTCCCCCTCCCCCTCCCCCTCCCCTCCTCCTCCTCCTCCTCCTCCTCCTCCTCCTCCTCCTCCCCCTCACCTTCCCCTCCTTCCACCTCACCTCTCTCCTTTCTCCATCCCCTTCTCTTTTCCTTACAGGGAGCTTCTACCCGTTGCATTCCTGGACGTGTCGGTCGTCGGTAGGGCGGGCTAGGCGCTTCGCCCGAGATGCCCTCACCATTTCTGATCATGGGACCTGGTCGCAAACAGCAAACTCGCAGATCGAAGGCAGGCCGCTCTCAGAATGTGGTTCTTGCCTCGGCGCCGCGCGCGTTCGTTTTCAGAGCTTCCAGTCGCTTCACGGACGGAGTGCGGTTCCATGTTCTAGCGTGTGGTTCGAGCCCTGGCGCCGCGCGCATTCGCCTTAAGAGATTTGCAGCCGTTTTTCTCGGACGGAGGGCGGGCCGGTCTCGAGACGTGGTTCTCGCCTTGCCGCCGCGCGTGTTGCCCGCTCGACGTTGCAGCAGCTTGGACGGTGAACGGCAGGCCCTCTCCAAAATGTGGCTCTCGCCTCGGCGCCGCGCCATTCGTCTCTAGGTAGGGCTTGCAGCAGCTTCAAGGATGAACGGCGGCTGCTTTTCAAGATGTGGCTCTCGCCGCAGCGCGGCGCACTTGCGTCCTAAACCTTTGCAGCAGTTTCAAGGACTCGCATGTTAAAGTCACAGGAATGGTGGCCTGGCACGATGGATCGCGGTGTTGGGCTCCAAGGCACAAAAGCGTTTTGACTGTGTTGCAACATCGCTGATGCGTCTTGGATCTGGTCTCGTCCTCCGCCCCCCTCCTTCCCCTCCCCCCCTCCCTTTCCTCCTCCTCCTCCTCCTCCTCCTCCTCCTCCTCCTCCTCCTCCTCCTCCTCCTCCTCCTCCTGGTTCGCGAACCAAGCCACGTCACGGTGTTCCAGGCGCCCCTCGGCGGGCCCATGCGCCCCGAGGCGTGGCCGAGACCAGCCTCACGCGGCAAATGTCGCCCTTCCGCCCCCCCCCATTCCAGACTCCCCCCCCTTCCGTCCGTCCGTCCCGAGAGAGGGGGGGGGGGCCATTCCCGTCTCGGGTCGAGACCTCCATAACGTCGGCGCTCACCGTGCCACCCGCCAGAAGCGCCGGATGAGGAACACGTGAGCGACGATCAAACACGGGTCTCGCGCGAGACGCCGCGGCTTACGCGAGCCGCCCGCGCGGCACGCCGCACTGGAAACGAGGGCGCTCACGCGCGACCCTGCGCGGGCAGCCTGCGCGCCAGCGTCGGCGCAGGCGACCCCGCTGTTTTCGGCGGTGGACAAACCTCCCCTTAGTGAAAACGGCCAGGGACCGAAATCGACGGACCTGGACCCGCAACAATGACGGCCGCGACGCCCCTCTCGCGAACCGAAGACGGCCCATTCCTTAATCGACGTGTCAGGGTGGGAGGCCTGTCCAACCCCGATGCTCGGGCGCCGCTCAAAGGGAGGTCTTCCGGCCACGGCGGGCCTCGGCCACTGAAGAGGCTCCCCGGCCACGGGCGGAGGGGCGGGCCGAAAGCCAGCGCCCCTCCCCGAGGCCAGGGTGGTCCTCGAGGCAGCCGGCTGGCAGCCATGAGGCTCTCTCCCGTTCCAGATTCCCCCCGTTCCAGATTCCCCCCCCTCCCTTCCGTCCGTCCGCCCCGAGAGGGGGGGGGCCATTTCCGTCTCGGGTCGAGACCTCCATACTCGGCGTTCACCGTGCCACCCGCAAGAAGCGCCGGATGAGGAACACGTGAGCGACGATCCAAAAACGGGTCTTGCGCGAGAATGACGCAGCGACCTTTTACGCCGCGGCGTACGCAGGCCGCCCGCGCAGCGCGCCGCACTGGAAACGAGGGCGCTCACGCGCGACCCTGCGCGGGCAGCCTGCGCGCCAACGCCGGCGCAGACGACCCCCCCTGTTTGACTTTGGGAGCCGAGGGACCAAACGATGCCAGATTGCAGCCTGTCCTGGTCAGGCCGCTTGACGAGGAGGCGCGTGGTATGGCTTGGCTTTGCCTGGAAGCGAACGCGGGGCAGGTAGTCCACGCTCTGACGCACCCTTTGTGGTCGCCGCCCCTGCCCCCCGACCCCCCCCCCCCTGTGCGCGCCGCCCCGCCGAGGCTCGCAGACCTCCGGCGCCGTGGCCTCTTCCGCGCGCGCGGGGGCGCTGCTTCGTCGCGGTCCCCTGCCCGAGGTCCCCGCGGGGGCCGCTCCCGGGTCGGGGTCGGCCCGAAGGGGGGCCTATATGCAAGAGGGAGGGGCGCAAGTCACGGCCGGCGGCGCGTGCGCGGCCCAGGGGGGGAGGGGGCAGGGACGCAGTGAGATCAGAAGAGGCGCCATGACATCTGAGGGAAAAATCATGGCCCACGCCATCTCCCGCTCCCCCAGTCATCACCCCCCTCTTGGCCGCCCCCGACCAGGGGTCTCAGGGACAGCGGCCCGAACTCCCCAGGCATCCGAAGCCCTGCTCCTCCTCCTCCTCCTCCTCCTGCTCCTCCTCCTCCTGCTGCTCCTCCTGCTGCTCCTCCTGCTGCTCCTCCTGCTCCTCCTCCTCCTCCTCCTCCTCCTCCTCCTCCTCCTCCTCCTCCTCCTCCATCTCCTCTTCTTACCAGGCATCCGAAGTCCCGATCCCTCCTCCTCCTCCTCCTCCTCCTCCTCCTCCTCCTCCTCCTCCTCCTCCTCCTCCTCCTCCTCCTCCTCCTCCTCCTCCTCCTCCTCCTCCTCCTCCTCCTCCTCCTCCTCCTTCTCCTTCTCCTTCTCCCTCCCCATGTCCCGAGCCTGTGGCGGGGCCCTCAGTTCGTCGTCGTCGTCGTCGTCGTCGTCGTCGTCGTCGTCGTCGTCGTAGTCGTCGTCATGGTCGTCGTCGTCGTCGTCCTTCAGGGTCGGCGGCATCAGCCGTAAGGCCTTCACAGTCGAGAACTTCCCAGGCATCGGAAGCCCTGATTTTCCAATACGTGGTCCCAAGAAGCCCCGACCTGTTCCCCAAGGCGGGCATTTCATCAAAAGTAGGTTTTTGGCCGTCCTGGTAGGGCTACGTTTAAGAACGTGGAGAGGCCGAGCATTATGAAAACTATCCTGGCGAAGGACCGAGCCATATGTAGTTATGAATACTGCCGTTGTGAAAATTGCCCTGGGTGGATCTCCCTATGGGCACGAAGCGCACGAAGGTTGCGCCGCACAGGGGCGGGGCCGCCATGCGGGCGCTGCCGCTGGGGCCTTCGGTAAACCTCCCTATGGGGCCACGAAACGTATGCGGGGTGCCGAAGTGGAGGTGGGGCGGCATGCGAACCATGCCGCTGTGGCCTTCGGTGGAGCTCCCTATGGGGCCACGAATCGTGTGAGGGGTGTGCAAAAGTAGAGGGGGGGCGGAATGTGAGCCATGCCACTGGGGCCTTCGGTGGAGCTCCCTGTGGGGCCACGAAACGTGTGAGAGGTGTGCCAAGATAGAGGAGGGGCGGCATGCGAAACATGCCACTGGGGCCTTGGGTGGAGCTCCTCATGGGGCCACAAAGCGTGTGAGGGGTGTGCCAAAGTGGAGGGGGGGCGGCGTGCGAACCATGCCACTGGGGCCTTCAGTAAACCTCCATGTGAGGCCGCGAAACGTGTGAGGGATGCCAAATTGGACGGGGGGCGGACTGCAAACCATACCGCTGGGGCCTTCGGTGGAGCTCCCTGCGGGGCCACGAAACGCGTGAGGGGTGTGGAGGTGGCGGGGCGGAATGCGAACCGTGCCACTGGGGCCTCTGGTGGAGTTCCCTATTGGACCATGAAGCGTGTGAGAGGTGTGCCTCATTGGACGGGGGGCGGCATGCGAATCATGCCGCTGGGGCCTTCGGTGGAGCTCCCGATGGGGCCACGAAAAGTGTGAGGGGTGTGCCAAAGTGGAGGGAGGGCGGCATGCGAACCATGCCACTGTGGCCGTCGGTGGAGCTCCCTATAGGGCCACGAAACGTGTGAGAGGTGTGCCAAAATAGAAGGGGGGCGGCATGCGAATCATGCCACTGGGGCCTTCGGTGGAGCTCCCTGTGGGGCCACGAAACGAGTGAGGGGTGTGCCAAGGTGAAGGGCGTGACGAGAGGGAGGGTGACGGGGAGGAGAAGGAGGAGGAGGAGGAGCAGGAGGAGGAGCAGGAGGAGGAGCAGGAGGAGACGCGGGGACTGTCTCTTCAGAACGAGGCCCCAACACCACAGGATGGCTGGGACAAAACCAGCTTTTTTCCCCGATACGGTGGATGGGGCTGAACGGATCTGAAGGTTACCACGACGCTGGAGGTCCGAAGGCTGCAGTGCTCATCGGGCGCCGCCCCGCCGGCCCGGCTCCGGCGTACGCGCGCGCGCACGAGGCGCCCGGGACGCGCATGGCCGCGCCCTGGCGTGCCGGGGCGCCCGGCACGGCGGCCGAAGTCGATGCTGCAGCGCGGCATGGCCCAAGGAAGCAGACACGCCATGAGCACAGACTTGCGAAGGCCCGCGCGGATTTGGTGGGTTTCTTTTCCACCACCACCACCAGTAGTAGGTTTGGGAGGGGGCCCTCCTCCTCCTCCTCCTCCTCCTCCTCCTCCTCTTCTTTCTCCTCCTTATCTCCCCCCCCCTCCATTGTAAGGTGGTGGTGGTGGAAAAAAGGCCCATCAGGATTTCTGGATCGGCGTTGGCTGTATCCGCGCCCTCGCGGTCTGGATTCCGGGCGCGACCGCCCGCGGATGCGCGATCGCACGGGCCCGCCCCTCGCGGGGCATCCGCGTGAGAACGGTCCGTACCCGCGGGGTCGCGGCCCAGGGACCTGGCCTTAGGTCGGGCATGTCCCCCTACAGGCGGATTTTGGGTGAAAAATAAATATACCCCAAACATACAAAATGGAATCAAAGCAAAACGTTCAAAATGTCGTCCCCAGGCTCGTTTTGTCTTCTCCCTATTCTTGAACATTCCTCCTGTAGAGGGACATGCCCGACTTAAACCTGGCCCATGGGGCCACGGATACGAAGATGTTTTTCGCCGACGAGCCCAGCCCCCTCGCTGGCGCACGGAGCGCGCCAAGGGCAGCGCCAGAGGCGCCGCCAGGTGGGCCCAGCGCAAATCCAAGACCCCAAAGTTCATGTTTACGACGCTCCTTCTTCCTCGAATAGCGAGAGGGCGGTGCCGCAGCCAGACGTTGAGCAGCAGCGCGATGCGTTCGCCCCTGTTAGGAGGACACCAATGCCACACCTACGCTGGCCCTGGCCAAGCCCATCCTGGCGGTGAAAGACGCGGCGGCGGCAGCGACGAGGCCGTGACTCGGCGGCGCGCCAAGGGGGGAGGCCGTCTCGGCAGGCGACAGGCCTTTCTCAGAGAGAGGAACCCCGCCACCTCGACCTTCCTCCGCTGGGCGCGCCACCGACGACGACGACGACGACGACGACGACGACGACGACGACGACGACGACGACGACGACGACGGCGACGAGCCACACCACGACAATCGGTGTATACTACGGCCTCCTGGCTGGGCGGGAAGGCGCATGCACCGATCCTGGGAGGTTGGCCAGGCCAGGGTGGCGCGGGGACACGAAACACCGCCACTCCCCAAAATTCTGCTTGCGGGGCTCCGAAGCGCTTGCAGCTGTGACGAGGCCCACCCTACACTATTCGACTCTACTCTATACTCTATCCTAATCCCACTCTGCTCGTCGTGGTCGTGGTCTTCGTTGTCTTCGTCGCCTTCGTCGTCGTCATCGTGCGTCGTGCGTCGTTGCGCGTCGTGCGTCGTGCGTCGTGCGTCGTCGTCGTCGTCGTCGCCGCGGTCGTCGTCGTCGACTGTGGCGACAAAGGGCTCCCGGGAGGTCCCCCAAAAACAGAAAAGATTGAACATTGGCGGTATCGGTACCTCCCCACGGATGCGACGTCCCGATTTTCAGAATACGCAGTCCCTGGCCCCCCCCGACCCTTCTCCCCTTATGCCTGGCATTTGTCTCGCGCGGAATAGTTTTTGACGGTCCCCAGGCCAAGCGAAGCCCCAAGGGGACCAGAAGCAACACCTCCCATCGTGATTCAGGCCTCGGAAACAAAATAGCGAACACTCATGCCACATTCATTTGTGAACGCCTCCCCCTCCCCCCAATGTTCAAAGTTGGCGGTGAGTCTGATGAGTTGCACCTCGACCGCAGTCTCCCCCGCGCGTGCCAACCTTGCGATTGGGGGGCAGGGGGGGTGTTCACTAATTTTTCCCCTCTACCGTTTGCTAGCGTATCAATTTGTCGGGGGCGTGCGACCCACCGCCGCTGGCATGACAAATTTCTCGGAGGGGGGTCGACAACCAGTGGGCCCGTCCCCACCCCACCCCAAAAAATACTGGGGGTGGGGGGGGTCGGACACCATGGGGCCCCCCATCACCAGAACCCCCCCCCCGGGAAAAACCTACGGGCCCCGGACCCGCCAGGAAGAAATCCCCTGGAAAGGAACCCTTCCCCCCCCCCCCCCGCCCGCCCCCAGGAGGAACTCGCGGGGGACCCGGATCCCCCCCCCCGGGGACGTGCCTAGGACCCTCGGGGGCGCGCAAACATGGATTAGCGATCCACGGATTTGGCGCGCGCGGTCGCCTAATCCATGGATCGGGCGAGGTGCCCTCCCCAAGAAGCGGCTGGTGCCGCCCCGTTCGGCGGCGGAGATCCGCGATTCCCCGTGGCAACGGGACCCGTCGCTGATCCACGCCCCCTCGATCCAGGTCTGCGATCGCGCCTTAGACCCCCCCCCCAGGAAAATTGGTCGGGGGATGCAGCACACTCCCTCCCCCCCGAGCAACGACGACGACGGCGACGACAGCAGCGGCGGCGGCGCACCGGTCGCCGGCGCCAGGGGCCAGGCGCTGGCTCTGAGAGAATGCTGCCAGGGCTCGGTCCAGCTGTCTCTGTATTCTATGAGGGCCCAGCTGTGCTCTACCCGACCCTACTCTGCCCTACTCCACGCTCCTCTACTCCATTCTACTGTGATCTGCTCTACTTTGCCCCGCTCTACTCTACCCTACCGTACCCAACACACACCCTACTCTACTCCACCTTGATCTTACTCCATCATACCCTACCCTTCGTCTGAGCCTACTCTACTCTACTCTCATCTTCTCCACTCTGTCCTACTCTATTATAGCCTATTGCTCTCTATCGTGCCCTGCCATACTCTACTCTACTCTACGTTGCTCCTGTCTCTCTTACGCTACACGTACTTTATCATACTCCACTCAACTCTGCTCTGCTCTATTTCTCCTCTATTCTATCCATCTGCTCTTCCCAACCCGGCTCTGCTCTAAGCTACTGTGATCTATACCTTATCACTCTACTCTGCTCTACCCTACTCTGCTCCAGCCTACCGTATCCCACCCTACACTACTCGACTCTATTCAACCTTCTACCCTACTCCTACTCTGCTCGTCATGGTCGTGGTCTTCGTCGTTTTCGTCGCCTTCGTCGTCGTCGTCGTCATTGTCGTACGTCGTGTGTCGTCGTGCGTCGTGCGTCGGGCGTCGTCGTCGTCTGTGTCCTTCTGTCCGTCCGTCCCTCCCTCCCTCCGTCCGTCCATCGTCATCGTCGTCGTCGTCGTCGTCGTCGCCGTCGCCAGAGAGTGGGAGGGCTGGACGACCTGCATAATTTTCCCGCGGGGGAGGGGGCTCTTGACCCCCCGAATACTCTTCCGGGGGGGGGGGGGGGGGCGGACAACCCCCCCTCGTTATGGAGGGGGGTGGGTTGCATCCACCCCACCTCCCCTGCAGAAACCTGGCATCGCTCGGACGTCCATTCCCTATGTTTTTTTCGGTTTCGTGCGTGGCTTTTTCGCCAAATGATCAAGGATGCTTCTCGATGGCCCTCGCCGAAGGAAAAATGCACATGTCCGAGCGATGCCAAGCTGCAGAAAAAGCTCCATCAATTTGTCCGAGCGGGGCGTCTTCGCCTGGCTTCGGACCCCGGGACCCTCGCAGATCGATCGCGCTCGACAAGTGGCGCAGGATGATACAGAAGGGGCGTTGACCTAAGGCACCCTACATAAGGAACGAGGCCCCTGTTTTCCATAAGTTGAACTTCGATGTCGTATCGAAAACAAGGACAACCTAAGGCAAGCTGCGAAACACTTAAGGAACGCGGAGCCCCTCCCCAACGAAAAAGGTTCCTTGTTCAGCGCCCCGACTGTATTTTTCCGGGGGGGGCGGACAACCCCCGCCGTTTTGGAGGGGGGTGGGTTGAATCCACCCCACCTCCCCTGCAGAAGGAGCTCCATCACTTTGTCCGAGCGGGGCGTTCTCGCCTGGCTTCGGACCCCGTGGGACCCTCGCAGATCGATGGCGCTCGACACATGGCGCAGGATGATACAGAAGGGGCGTTGACCTAAGGCACCCTAAATAAGGAACGAGGCTGTTTTCCACAAGTTGAATTTCGATTTCGTATCGAAAACCTAGGGAAAAACATAAGGGAAACCTGAGGCAAGCTGCGAAACACTTAAGGAACGCGGAGCCCCTCCCAAACGAAAAGGGCTCCTTCTTCAGGGCCCCGACTGTAGGGACCCTCGCAGATCGATCGCGCTCGACACATGGCGCAGGACGATACTCCAGATTTCGTAATAAAGGGAGGGGGGGTCTCATTTCGGGGGGGGGTCTCTTCCAGGCTATCTTGGAGGGCCTGGGGGGTCTGGGGACGATGTTTTGGAGGGTTCTCCCACGGGGGAGGTCTGAAATGGCTCGTCTTGGAGGGTCCAGAGCTCTGGTCGGCGACGTATCGCGGTGCGGCAACCTGGTCGCCGCGTCGGAGCTCAGGGCGTGCCGGGAGGGTGCGCGAACGGCGAAATCGCGAAAACGGCAGCGGTAATGATCGGCACTCTTGCCAGATGTGCGCCGTCGGCTTCTCTTGAGAACAGAGCCCCCCACAGGTCTGGATCCCCTGCCCATGGACAGTGCTCTTCCCCCTCGAGTCGTCTTCGACGGTCCCAGGGCGCAGCGCAGGCCCCAGGGCGCCGAACACTGCTGAAACAATCTTCCGTCGAAGTTCCTTCATGACGCGGGCGCGTCTGCAAAGGGCTTCCTTTGAGCAGGGACCGACCGTCCCGGCATTCCTGTAGGCCTATCACGACATACTCTTAGCAAACAATGTTCGAAGAACCAAAACCATGACCTTAGAACGTAGAGCCGATGGATTAGGCCAGGACGGTCTCAACCATCAATGATGTAAGAATACGTCGTGCGAGCCAGAGAAGGATCCGAGGACATTGCTTGGTAGGCCTGTACGGTGGGGGCCGATCCACAAGACATCTTCCACAAGAAAGCCAACCCTGAGGCCCCGGGACGTCCATTGAGATTTGGCATGGGGACGTCACGCCTCCCATAGCAGAATCATCGAAACCCAGGGCATCCTGGAGGCAAGCAGGGTGTTTCTTGGCATGTGCCTCCAGCCGATGTGTGAAGCCAGGGCGGTCTCAGCCATCAACGTTCTACGAATACGTCGTGCGAACCACCAGAGGTTCTTAGGACGTTCTTTGGTGGGCCTGCAGGCAAGCCTGGGCGCTTCGCCCCTGCTCGAGTCGTCCCCTCGAGCACTGCTGGCATTGGATGCTCACTCTGGGGACCTTCCTGGAGCCGCTCGCTCCACCCGTGGGTCGAAGCTGCGTCGAACGTCCGTCGATTTGGGTCGATCCTGAGCCGAACCTGAGTCGAACCTGAGTTGAACTTGAATCGAACTTGAGTCGAACTGGGGTCGAACAGATCTGTTGGGTGGGCTCCAGGGTCCAGCTGAAAGGGCGTGGTGCAAGAGATGTGGGGCAATTGTATTGCAAATGCATTGCGCCAGAGAATTGTATTGCAGTGTATTTCAACTAATGCATTGCACGCGAAAATCCAGCAATACATTTGCGCCTAGGAATGTATAGCACGCCCAAAATCTATTGCAGGCCACAGATCTATTGCACCAGATCTAGTGCACCGCCCACTTGTAGCTGCACCCCCTGTTGGGTCAACCAGAAGGAAGGTCCCCAAAACCTCCTCCTCCTCCTCCTCTCATCCTCCCTTCTCCTCCTCCGCACTCCTCCTCCTCCTCCTCCTCCCCTCCTCCTCCTCCTCCTCCTCCTCCTCCTCCTCCTCCTCCTCCTCCCCCTTCTCCAAAAAGGCCCCCCAAGACGAGCATCTCATTGGAGCCCCCCCCCGGCCTGCGGGCCTCGAGCGCCTGCGGGGCGCCGTGCAGCAGGCCGCCCCGGAAGGCCACGTGCAGGCCTGGGGAGGGGAAGGCCACCAGCGCCTCGCGGCCGTGGCCCGCGGCAGGCCCGAGGTCCTGCAGAGGAGCACGAAGACTGCACAGGGCCAGGCTCAGAGACGCACTATTGGGCGGGGACCCACCGCCCTGGCATTCCTATAGTCCCACCACGAAATGTGCTTAGAGCCCAGAAATTTGTTCTAAGAGCAGAAGCAATAATGTTCCTAGAATATAAACCCGATGTGCTAAAACAAGACAGGCTCCGCCAGAAATGTTCTAAGAACATTTCGTGGGAGCCACAACATGTTCAGATAACATTGTTTGGTAGGGCTATAGGCGAGCCAGGACGCGTCGCCACTGCTTGACACTAGCACTATATGTTCTCCTGGGAGGCGCGCGTCCGACCCGAACACATAGTAGACCCATCTTGTAGTAGACCGCTTCCCGGGCGGTGTGGCCCGAAAGCGCCCGTCACGACGCATGTACCGTGAGATCTCGCGGCGCGCGCATCGCCCCCGGGGGGGGGGGCGACGCACATGCAGTAAAAGCATGTTGGGAGGTGCACACGAGCACTCAACGAGCACGACGAACATCAGGGTGCCCTCCCCGAGCCGACCTCGACCTGATGCCGCGGGCCGGCGGTACGCCTTCTGCAGTCGCCGACCCGCACACTAATTAGGGGCCCGACCACGAGAAGCCTTCCACCAGGAACCCGACCCCTGGAACCCCAGGACGTCCATGGATTATTGGCGTAGGCACGTCACAGATTCCATGGCAGGACCAACGTAGCTCAAGAAACCCAGGGCACCCTGGAGGCGAGCAGGGTGCTTCTTGGCATGGGCACGTCTGTCCGAAGAAGTAGGTAGGTAGAACCATGAAGTAAGAAGGCGTTGGAGGTAGATTTGGACTTCCGCCCGCCCCCAGAAGAGGAGGGCCGAGGAAAGAGCGTTCCACTCTCGAGGTAGGAAGGCGGCCAAAGTAGATTGGGATCAATGGATCTAAAAACAACTACTTCCAACGAGCGACGAGTGCCTACTTTGAACAGGGACCGACCGTGCAGGCATTCCCATGAGCCTACCTCTGAACAAAGCCGATGTGTTGAACAAAGACGGTCTCAACCAGACACGTTCTAAGAACGTTTCGTGCAGCCCGCAGAAGGTGATTAGAACATTATTTTGTGGGCCTTCAAGCAAGCCAGGACTCTTCGCCGCTGCTTCAGTAAACACGAGCTTCCGCTCCAAGATGGCCAAGGGCCCCCCAGAGGCTCCTCAGGCCCCCGTAAGACGCCCCTGGAGGCCCCCATGACGCAACAGGAGTCCCCAAAGAGGCCCCCCCCTTCAGCACCCACGACCCTTCCAAGAGTCCCCCGAGAGGCATCCAGCGCGTCGCGGCCGGGGCAGGCGGCCAGCCCAAGATCCCAAAAGACAAAACGACATCAACACGAACACGGCGCCTATGCACAAAGAACTGTTCGGACTGCCATCAGGCCCCGCTCCGACGCGTTACGGTGCTTAGTGCAGTTGTCCGGCTCCGGGGGTCGAGCAGCTGTGCACAGTACCACTCTAGGGCCGAGGACCCACGACGCATCGGGAGGGGCCAAGGTGGTTAGTACGGTGCATACAAGTCGTCCGCGGAATACACGTGAGTTCCCAGAGGTCCGCGCGGAAGTCTTGGATCGGCGCGCGACCCCATCCCTGGCGCGTGGAGCGCGGCAGGGGCGGCGCTGCCAGGGGGGCGCAGCGCAGATCCAAGAAATCTGCGCGGACCGCCGAAAGTTTCTATCGTCGGCGGTGGACGAGCCTCCCTTTAGCAAACCACCCTGTCGTGAAAACGGCCGAGAACCGAAACCGACGGACACGGGCCCGCAAAAAGGACGGCCGCGACGCCCTCCGGCGAACCGAAAACGGCCAGTTCGCCAATCGAAGTGCCAGTATTAGTTGGCGGCGCGCACAAGGGGGTGGGGGGAGGGGGGAGGGCTTCCCAGAAGCAGGGGTGCTTCTAAGAAGCCCCCCCCCCTCCCCCCACCCCCCTCTGCGCGTGCCACGGCCAGTTCGCCAATCGAAGTGCCAGGCTCGCCATCGCTCGGACGTCCATTCAGTGTTTTTTTTTCGGTTTCGTGCGTGGCTTTTTCGCCAAATCATCAAGGATGCTCCTCGATGGCCCCCGCCGAAGAAAAAAAACGCACACGTCCGAGCGATGCCACGTCTTACCAACCTCCGAGGCGTCTGCATCTTCTTCTTCTTCTTCCTCGAGGTCCGGCGCGTCCGGGTCGGGGCAGCCGTCGGGCCCGGCGCGGAGCGTCGGCCTCGAGAGGACCACCTCGAGGGGGGAGCGCTCCCAGCAGACGTGCTCGCGCGGGGAGAAATCGCGGCGGGCGGTCTGGGGCCGCTTTCGGCCTCGGGGGCCCGCGAGGGGCCTCGGGCCTGTCAAGAATCAAGGGGCCCCAGGACGCACAAATAAACACACACAAATAAAGATATTCCTTATAGTTTCCCATCTTGTTTCTGTGTCCTCCCCCCCCCAATTCCCATATGTTTGAACATTTTCTGGGGAATCGACGATGAATTGTGTCTGTGTGTGTATGTGTTTTCCCTTCTGACACCTCGAGGGGGAGCCTTTCTCAGCAGACGCGCTCGCGCGGGGAAGAATCGCGGCGGGCGGCCTGGGGCCGCCTTCGGCCTCGGGGGCCCGCGATGGGCCTCGGGCCTGTCAACAAAACACTGACGATGACAATGAGGGGGCCCTGGGACACACAAATAAGTACACGCACAAATAAAAAAGGATTCCCTATATTTCCCCAGATTTCCTGAATTTTTGTCTTCCCCCCCACCTCCCATATTTTCCCACATGCTCTGGGGAATCGACGATTCATACATCCCCGTTACGAAAGTTAACTCATCTTGGCTAACATTGACATGTGTGGGCGCTGTGGTGGGAAGTGGTATGGGAGTGATTCTTCCTTGTGGCTTCATACGGGGAGAGTTTCAGAGTTGCCTGGAAGTGGCCGGGAGTGATTTCTCCCTTTGTGAATTTACGGGGGAGAGATTTTATCCTGAATTGGTTATATATACTATTAATGTTACCAGGGAGAACCCCGGAAACCTCTCCCGCCAAACCAGGCCGAAGACTGCCGTGCTAGGAGTCTACGGGGGGAAGGGGGGGGCACTCGGAGACGCCCTAGTCGTCAGTGCTCAAGATGAATAACTTTCGTAACGGGTGAGTAGTGTCTGTGTTTTTTTCCCTCCTGCCACCTCGAGGAGGAGCGCTCCCAGCAGACGTGCTCGCGCGGGGAGGAATCGCGGCGGGCGGCCTGGGGCCGCTTGGGGCCTCGGGGGCCCGCGATGGGCCTCGGGCCTGTTGAAAAACACTGACGTTAAGTCGGGCCTGTCCTCCTACAGGGGGATTTTAGGGATTTTCGACGAGAAATAAACGATACACCAAACATAATCAAAAAAAATAATAATCCAAAAATAGTCTGGGGTCTATTTTTTGAATATTTGTTGGCCTGTTTGGGGCAGTTGGGGGGTATGTTTTTTGTTCGTCGAACATCCCCCTGTAGGGGGACACGGACATAACACTGACGATGACAAGCTGGCCTCTGGGAACCCGCGTGTTGAGAGAAACAGGAAGTTCCATGTGTGGTTCACGTGGGGCCAGCTCAGGGTGGTAAGCATCGACCTTGCATCGTCGATGCTGGCAGACAGGTGTGAGACAGCAAGTGATAGCAGATGTGGACATTGCTGGGCGGGGTGGGCTATGGGGGCCCCTATCGGCCATGAATGGGCGATTGGGGGTCGTCAGTGCAGCCACCCCTGAGCCCATACCCCCCGAACATTGCCCCCGACCACCAGAGGGGCGCCACTGCTGGTCAGGTAGGTCGCAGTGGCCAGCGCGGGGTGGGCGAGCAATTCTTGGAGGCTCGGAAATCGGAACCAGCACCAACGCAGGGCAAACGCCTCCACCTGTGCCATTGGAAGGTGATGCTGCGCTCTGGTGCGGATGGCAATCTTGCGGCCACCCCCGAAGCCCGAAGCTTCCCACCAACACCGAGATCGGGATACCTTCCCTCGGTGAAGGCCGCCGCCAATGTTGGCGTTGGTGCCGATCTCTGGGCCTCCGAACTTCCAGAGGAAGGGACAGCCACACAACACGTACAGTTGATGAGGTCTGCGCGGACTTTGTGGATCGGCGCTGGGGCTCCATGGCGGCGCCTCCGGCGGGGGTTCTGGCGCAGATCCCAGAAATCCATGCGGACCTTCAAACGCCTGCACCTCTGTGGCTTTCCCTTCCTCGACATTCGCAGTCGTCCAGAAGGTTCTCGTCCTTGTCGTAGTGCCAGCCAACCCCGCGCTTCCCCGCGGGCTGCGACGCCACCCGGCGCTGCACCCAGAACTCGGCCCCGGCTGCACGACCCATCCGTGACACCGCCTGCTCGCCATCGCTCGGACATCCGTTCCCCGTGCGTTTGTCGGCTTCGTGCATGTATTTTCTCACCAGGTGGCCCGAAAGGCTCCTCGATGCTCCTCACCGAGGACACATGCACACGTCCGAGCGATGCCAAGCCTGCGCCGACCAGCCCAGCCTGCCCACGTGGAACCAGAACACGTCCAGTGCCCATTCCTCGAGGCGTGACCGAGGCGTGGCCATGGCGGGCATCCAGAAGGGCGAATTGCCCACCTCCGCGGCCATCCTTCGGGCTGCGGACTTCAGCGAGCCCAGCTGGCGCGGGTCGCCGTTGTCGGCCGAGGGGAAGCTGCTCCAGGTCAAGAAAGGAGGCATCAGGCACCTGCCCTCCGTGCGGCGCCGAGCCACGAGCGCCTGCAGACGCCAGACTCCACAGTCGAGCTCGACGTCGCTGCCATCGGTGTCCTCGTCAGGCTGGGACGACTGAGAGAGCCCTGCTGCCATGGCAAGCAGGGCCAATCTTCACCCTCGCAGTGACGCGCGCTCGGGCCAGCAGCGTGGCTGTTGATCCAGAACAATTGGCAGTGATACTACAGTCAAAATGTACCCGGCACAATCAACTCATCATCGCGGACGTTGGTACAGCGATCAATAATCCGCCACTGCCTAAACAGATAAAGATGTTGTGCGTGAGATGTTCGGGGTCGGGCCTCAAGACCATCGACACATGACCAGGAACAGAACAACGGTATCAGAAAAAGGGTCCAAAGCTCCAGGGGCCAAGTATTGAAACCATCCCGATGTTCCAGAAGCCTTGGACGCCGCTGGAGGCCCCTGAAAGCTCCATCCGGATACAAAAATAATCAAAAAAGGGTCCTGGAAGCCCCCTGCATCTTCCATCCAAAAGAGCTGACAATATCGCGCAAAAGTGGGCATAGCCCCTGGACGCAATGGGTAGCTCTGGACAGTGGTGGAAACAATCAAATGGCATGTTTTCGACATAGCAAGGGTCGTTGCGAGCTTGGGATCTGGAGCCATGATTGCGCCGGCCGGCGCTCGTGTGGCAGATTCCATTGTTATGTCTTATCGTGCCTTGGGGAGGACGAGGCACATGATGATGATGATGATGATGATGATGATGATGATGATGATGATGATGATGATGATGATGATGATGATGATACTGAACAGCAGCAACAGCGGCGACGTGGGACATGGACGGATGAAGAAGGTTGAGCATGACATTCAGAAGGGAGGCCATCAAGGACCCCCCATCCCCGAGGAGGGCACTGTAAGTTCTGTCCGACTCTGAGAGTCCCTAGATTGATCTTCTGCGGACACAGGAGGAAGCGGACAGAAGGCCTGTAGAAGCACAGCCGTTCTAAGACATCGACCTCTGCCAGCTGTTCCTGTCAGCATCCCGTTCCCTAGAAGCTTGAAGAAGCCCTTGTAGTATACAGTATATGTGTAATGTACACTGTCTTTTGCTTGGGTATCTCTATGGTTCTCGCGCGCCATCGAACGAGAGAAAGAGAGAGAAAGAGAGAGAGCGAGAGAGAACGAGAGGGAGGGAGAGAGAGGGAAAGAGAGAGAGAGAGACACAGAAGGAGAGAGAGAAAGAGAGAGAAAGAGAGCGAGACGAAGACAGGGAGTGAGAGAGAGAGAGAGATACAGAGAACGAGGGAGAGAGAGAGAGAGAGAGAGAGAGAACAAAAACAAGTGGCCCCAAAGAAGCCTTCGCAGAAACACGTGGGGGCTCAAAGAGGGCCCGGAAGGGGGCCACCGACAGAAATGCAAGCAGAAACACCATTATTCTGGAGCATAAAACATCTGTTTCTGGCAATCTCTTTGAGAACCAGGGCAGCCGGGGCCTCCTCCTCATCCTCCTCCTCCTCCTCCTCCTCCCTCCCTCCTCCCTCCTCCCTCCTCCCTCCTCCCTCCTCCCTCCTCCCTCCTCCCTCCTCCAGTCGAAAGGTATATTCCCAGCCAGGTGACCTCTGCTACGCGCGCGTTGCGGCCAGCCCTCACCGTAACCATTAGGCTCGAGTCAGAGAATCAAGCTTTGTTTCACACGTACTGGAAAAGATCTCTCCTACATCCCATTCCTATTCTCAACTTTGGCAGCGGAGCGGGGGACTAAGATCCTTCGCTTCTTGGACGCTACCGCTCGCCTTCGTGCGAGCACCACTGTACAGCCACTCCGCAGAACAACATGTCGGCACCACCGCCGACTGCAGCTGCTCCTTCGGGGACGGTGTACGGCAGCACCAGCCTGAAGGTGCCTCCAAGATGGGACCCGGGGACGGCGTCCACGTACCCTTTCCGCAAATGGGTACAAGATGTGATGCTGTGGTCGATGGTCACAGACCTCCCGATCAACCAGCAGGCGCCGGCGGTCGTGCTACAGCAGACGGGCACGGTCCGCGATATCCTCCGGGCCATCGACGTGAACGTTTTGGCCAATGGTGGCCCCATCGACATGATGGACGGCCGGGGCCCTGTCATGCAGACCGGTTTGACGATTGTGCTATATGTGATGTCTCAGAAGTTCTTGCCGCTTGGCTACGAGCAGAACGTACAGGCAGCTCAAGCGTATCTTGGCTTTCAGCGTATGAGCGGCGAGACGATCGACGCTGCGCTGTGCCGCTACGCCACGGCCCGGTTCAGGGCGAACGAGGAGGCCAACTTGAACCTTGGACCTACAGGCACAGCATACCATTTGTTGCGGGCACTCCACGTGTCTCCACAGATGTGGACGCTGCTGCTGCAGCCGTTCGGCGGCAACATGCCGACGCAGGAACAGGAGCTCATCCAGATGGAAGAACACCTCCGCCGCCAGGGCCACTTGCTTGAGGGCGTGATGAACCAGTCACCCCAGCAGGGCGCGCACTTCGCGGACGGAGGCCTTGGGAGCTTCTTCGCCGAGCCGGGGGGCGGTGCTCCGTCCGTTCCCCAAGGGGCCGCGGCTTCGGGCGGATTCTTTCCGTGTTCTGCCGCGGCTGCTCCGGCCATGGCCGGATCAGGTACCGGCTGGCCAGACGCGCACCCAGGCATGGAGTGCGAGGCGTGCGGCATGTACGTATACGACGAAGACGACGACGGCTCGTCGAGCGCCACCTCAGAGGAAGGGCCGCCACCAGACCACGACCAGCAGGATTACAGCAACCAGAAGGCCAACGAGCTTCATCAAGCATACGTGCTTGCGCGCCGAAAGTGGAGGCACTTCACGGGCAAGCACACGAGGGCCTCGCGACGCCCTGCCCGCAAGGGTTCGGGCAAGAGCCGGTCTTGGGGCAAGCAGCCCGGAAAGGGCAAGTCCGGCAAAGGCCTTGGTTTCGGCAAGCATGGTGGCATCTACCACAGTTCTGCTGGCTCCAACTCGGCCTACTTCGGTGGCAAGGCGAAAGGCCGGGGCAAGAAGAACCCCACGGGAAAGGACGGCAAGGTTCTGACATGCCACCAGTGTGGTTCCGACGAACACTTGGTGGCGCACTGCCCGAAGCGCCCGCGGTTCCACTACGCGGACGGTGCCGCGCCGGCCGCGCCCCAGACGGACCAGACGCAGCAGATCCAGAGGATGATTTCTGGTGGTGTGGCGGAAGGCTGCGCGGCGCGCCAGTTCATGGGCGCCTGCGGCTACCACCAGCCAGTGGCGACCACGAGCCTTGGCATGTTCTTCACGCAGGCGCAGCACATGGTTGTGAATAGCCAGATGCAGCAATCTTCGCCCTCCTGGGGACTTGTTGGCCAGCCAGCCACATTTCCTGGCCAGCAGCAGCCGCTCCAGCTGCAGGACACGGGCGCCACCGACGCCGAGCCCCTGCGCGAGCGCGTGTGCGGCCGCGTCAAGAAGTACAACGACAAGGAGCGCTGGGGCATCATTGTCCCGAGCGACGGCGGCAAGGACATCTTCATCCACGCGTCGAATGTCACGGGCCCCTCGCTCTCTGCCGGCGCGGAGGTGACCTACGAGGTTGACTGGGACGACAGGCGCGGGAGGCCGCAGGCCGTAGCTTGCAGGCTGGATCACGGAAAAGCTGCCCATTCCGACGGCGAGGACCCGTGGGTCCGCGGAGATCCCTGGGGAGGCCCAGCGGCGGCCGCGCCGCAGCCACAGCCACCAGGATGCTTAGCGATGGTCGAGAACATCGCGGCTGCTCCTGGCAGCCCTGCTACGGCTGGATTGGCCCCAGCCTTTGAGCCCGGAGCTCAGTGGCCAGCTGGATCGGTACCAGCGCCAAGCGGAATGTCTGGATCGGCTCCAGCATTCACTCCGTGTTTGGCTAAATGCCAGAATCTGTCATCCATCATTCAAAATCTGTCACACATCACTCCTCCTCAACCTCCCCTTCAGGCAGAGGATGCGAGGACGAGGATGAGGAGTGATATCACACCTGCCGGCGCGACGAGTGATATGACACCTGCCGGCGCGACGAGTGATATGGCACCTGCTGGCGCGAGGCAGAGTGAGATGACACCTGGCGGGACTGGCGGCGAGACCCTGGCACAGAGAGGCGATGCCGGATTGGAGCCGGCACCAGGCACCCTTGCATCCAGTGTTGTTACTCCGCAGGCTGCCGCCTATTCCGCCTTCCAGATGATGGCCGGATCGGCACCGGCGTCAGAATCCACATCATATCTGGGCCATGGTATCCCAATGATTGGATCGTCACCATCCCCATCTAGGCCACTTCTCGCTCAAGGGACGGCTGGATTGGCACCAGCGTCAAGGCCACCCATAGGCCACGGCTTCGCAGGATTGGTCCCTGCGGCGCCTGCAGGATCGGCACCTGCATCTCTAGCCACGGTGGCTCAATCGTGGCAACGCCCTGGATCGGCACCAGGGCCGCTGGTTGACCATCAGCCTGGATGGGTACCAGGTGTAGTTGTTAATCAGCCTGGATTGGTGCCAGGTGTAGGTGTTAATCAGCCTGGATTGGTACCAGGTGTAGGGCTTAATCAGCCTGGATTGGTACCAGGTCTGTCGTTAGCTGGTTGTCCAGCTCCTGGTGCGGGGTTCGCGCCGCAGCCACCACCACAGCATGATCAACCCCAACGGCGACGACCTAATCGTGGTCACGACGATCACGAGGACCGCACGCAGCAAATGCACGCCATCAGCAACATCCTACGACCACGAGCACCTCAACTCCACTATCCCTGGGGCCCACGCATGGTTGAGCTTGACATGAGCATGAACGGCGGTGGTGGTGAGGCTGAGTATTGGCACTCGAGGGCCCGCCTGAAGGGGCCGGACCGCGAGGGCCTCCTCATCGACCCAGGCGCTCACGACAATCTGACTGGAGACGCCTGGGTCCGCCGCGTCCAGGCCATCCTCAAGAAACACAACATGGACGTCGATGAGATGAACATGGATCGTTCCTTGACCGTGGAAGGGGTCGGAGCCGGGTCCCAGGACTGCAACACGAAGGCTCTCGTGCCCATGATCTTGGAGACCGGCGACACGGGCACGTACCAGAGCCCTGTCATCCCCAACTCCGACGTTCCAGCACTACTGGGAATGAAAACCTTGGAACAACGACGAGCACTCATCGACATCTCC